GAGGCTGGATGGCCATCTGTCAGGGGTGCTTTCAATGCGTTTTTCCTGCTTCTTGACTTCAAACTACAAGAGAGGAAATTCCACCTGAACATAAGGAAGAACTTCCTGACTGTGAGAGCCATTCAGTAGTGGAACTCTCTGCCCCGGAGTGTGGTGGAGGCTCCTTCTTTGGAAGCTTTTAAAGAGAGGCTGGATGGCCATCTGTCAGGGGTGATTTGAATGCAATATTCCTGCTTCTTGGCAGAATGGGGTTGGACTGGACGAGGGTTCCAACTCTAGGATCCTAAAGGAAAATGTTTTCCCCTGAATACTAAAACAATGTATAAATATTAAAATAAATATAGTGTCCCTACTTTGTGGATTTTCACTTATCGTGGGTGGTTCTGGAACGGAATACCCGAAGTAATTGAGGGAACACTGTATAGAATTGCCTACGAAATGCACTCTGGACCGCCCCAAACCTGACCGTGAAAGAAACAATTTTGCGAACCTCAACAGCGCAGGGCAGGAGCCTGAATCCTTCCTTTTTGGCTCCTCCGGCAGTTCTTCCGCCTTCCCATCGGCAGCCGTTGGCTCTCTCGGCTGGGGGAGCGTTCTGGTTAATAGCCTCCGATTAGCCTCCTCTTGTCAAATTGGCTGATGTGATGCATTGCCGAGGCTCGGCTGATTAAATCGGAAGCCTTGTGCACTTCCCTCGAAGATGCTCATTACCAGAGATTCCCCACTTAATGCTGGACAGGCCGTGAAGACGATGGGACTTGTCAGTCTTTTATCTTGGCACTTAGTTAAAAATTAATGCCCTTTTTCTCTCGGAGGAGCCTGCAGATCCGTCCCTCCATCTAGTTGTTGACAGCGCCGCCATCTTGATCGGGAAGTTACAAGGCTTGGGAGGGCCGGTAACGGATATGGAAATGGAACGAGGAACGCGGTGTGCTCATCCGTGGCACCATATCAACACCGTCACATCCCGTCTCTCTTTCAAAATCCGGGACATCCGAGTCTTTCTGAACCTGAGCAAGGAGACTGAGCACAGTTGCACCACCAGGTTCTTCAAGGAAGCACAACAAAAATGCAGAATTTGGGGGGAAAGTGTTCCTGCAATATTCCTGCTTCTTGGCAGAATGGGGTTGGACTGGATGGCCCAGGAGGTCTCTTCCAACTCTTGGATTCTAGGATTCTATAACTTCCTGGTTGGGAGAGCTGTTCAGCAGTGGAACTCTCTCCTTTGGAGTGTGGTAGAGGCTCCTTCTTTGGAAGCTTTGAAACAGAGGCTGGATGGCCATCTGTCAGTGGTGCTTTGAATGCAATATTCCTGCTTCTTGGCAGAATGGGGTTGGACTGGATGATGGCCCAGGAGGTCTCTTCCAACTCTAAGATTCTATGACTGTGAGAGCTGTTCAGCAGTGGAACTCTCTGCCCCAGAGGGAGTGTGGTGGAGGCTTCTTTTTTGGAGGCTTTGAAGCAGAGGCTGGATGGCCATCTGTCAGAGGTGATTTGAATGCAATATTCCTGCTTCTTGGCAGAATGGGTTGGACTGGATGATGGCCCAGGAGGTCTCTTCCAACTCTTTGATTCTAGGATTCACTTGATTCCTTATCTACTGTTGCTACTTCTGACTCCCCCGAATGCTCTTGAAGCCCTGTACTATCCGAGCTAGTTTTGTCACAGAGAGAATCATCAATTCTCAGACTCGAGAGCCTATACTTTTGTGCTACGTACGGGAAAGCTCACGATCCTCTCTCTCTACCTCATCAGTGAAACGATCAGCCTCTGGCCGGTCTACAACAACCCTCAATTTCTGGGGGGATGTGCGAGGAGGAGCAATAGACTTCCTCTGGGTCGCTTCTGGGCGGCAGGACGACCTCTGCTCTTCAGATATTTTGTGGAGGCATCACAGTCAGATCGGAGTGGACGCTGAAGTACAGCCACACTTTGCCTTTCCCTTAGTAGTTGGGCATGTCCGGCCTGAAGCGTATGAGCCTCACGGTTCAGTGTTGACCTCTGGGAGTGGCCTTTCGGAATGGATTTGGAGTAATGAAGGACTTCTGCAGCAGCAGCAGCAGCAGGTTTTATTGCAAACACGAGACCGGGAACGATGTCCTCATCAGACGTGTTCTCCCTCCTTCTCAAAAGCGCTCGGTTAAGGAGGCCAAAGATTTGTCCAGCCCTGCCTCGCTTAGTATTCCGCTGTCCTGCCTCGTTTCGCTCCACGTAGTTCGTTAAAAGAAGGGCCGGTTAATGAGCCCCGCAAGCCGGCGCCTGTGCCGCGCAGTGGGGGCCGGCCTGGGTCAAGGGCCGCCGCCTTCGGAGAGACCTCGGCTGGGCATTTCATCTCACTCGCAATGACGGAGGGAGAGGCGGAGGCAGGCGTGTCGAGCAGGGCCCTCTTCCCACAGAAAGGTCACCCATCCTTCACTCTCGCCCGCCTTTACTTGCATGCCCTCAAAACATTGCAGCTTTGCATTGGAGCGCATGGGGCTGCATAATTGTTTCCTGGCCACTGCCGGAGTCACCAAGGAGGGCAGAAGCCGCCCAAAAAATCCCTCGTTCCTATATTACTAACTAGTTTGGTGACCCGGTGGTGCCAGAGTTTATTAGAAGATGGCATAGTGACCTCACCTCACTACCTCTGAGGATGCTTGCCATAGATGCAGGCGAAACGTCAGGAGAGAATGCCTCTAGAACATGGCCCTATAGGCCGAAAAAACCCACAAGAACCTAGAAGATGGCATTGTTTATTCTTGGGTTGTTAGGTAATGTCATTGAAGTTTGGTCCAGATCCTCAATTCCTGTTTGTTGAGTGCCATAGGAAAGGGTTAAAGGAGGTGCAGTGCGTGGGTCATGCAAATTCCACAGCAATAGAGAGACTCAGTAACACTGGGATGCCTGTGGTGGAGGAAGCACATCAAATCTGGGGTGAAACTGTCCCCCTATGCAAGCCTTCACTTGAGTGGTGGGGAGCGTGGCATTGGTGGAAGACATTGGCAGGGCTCTCGGACATGTTTATGGTGCTCACTCACTTGCCTGAGGACCTGACGGTGCCCGGGTTATTAGACGATGGCATTGTTTATTTTGGGGATGTTGGGTAATACCGCTGAAGTTTGGTCGAAATCCTCAATTCCTCTGCTTGTTGTGTGTCGTAGGAAAGGGTTAAGGGAGAGGCGGTGGGCGGGGTCATGCAAATTCCACGGCAATGGAGAGAGAAAGGAACCCTGGGATGCCTGTGGTGGAAGAAACACGTCAAATCCAGGGTGAAATCATCCCCCCAATGAAGCCTTCACTTGGGTGGTGGGGAGTGTGATGTTAGTGGAAGACATTGGACATGTTTATGGTGCTCACTCACTAGCCTGAGAACCCGACGGTGCCCAGGTTATTAGACGATGGCATTGTTTATTTTGGGGATATTGGGTAATACCGCTGAAGTTTGGTCCAGATCCTCCATTCCTCTGCTTGTTGAGTGCCATAGGAAAGGGTTAAAGGAGGTGCAGTGCGTGGGTCATGCAAATTCCACAGCAATGGAGAGAGAAAGGAACACTGGGATGCCTGTGGTGGAGGAAGCACATCAACTCCCATGACCAAGAGACAATATTGAAAGGGTTTTGGTGGGGACTGACCTTGAGTTTGGGAGTTGTAGTTTACTACATCCAGAGATCACTGTGGACTCAAACAATGATGGATCCGGACCAAATTTGGCACGGATACTCAACTCCCATGACCAAGAGACAATATTAGAAGGGTTTTGGTGGGCATTGACCTTGAGTTTGGGAGTTGTAGTTTACCTCCATCCAGAGAGCACTGTGGACTCAAACTGTGATGGATCTGGACCAAACTTGGCAAGGATACTCAATAAGCCCAAATGTGACCACTGGTGGAGTTTGGGGGAAGTAGACCTTGACCTTTGGGAGTTGTAGTTCCTGGGATTTATAGTTCACTTACAATCAAAGAGCATTCTGAACTCCACCAACGACAGAATTGAGCCAAACTTGGCACCCAGAACCCCCATAACCAACAGAAAATACTGTGTTTTCTGGTGGTCTTTGGTGACCCCCAGGTTGAGAAACGCTGAGATAGATGCCGGCGGAGCCATACGGCCATAAACTTAAGAGCCCCTTGAAATCAGCTGCTAGTAGTGCCAAATACTCTCCTCATTTTGGAGGCAGAATCATTGACAGAGTGACATCCTTTGAACTGAAAAGAGGTTTGAAGTGGTGTCGTTGCCATTCAGAAGCAAAACCTTGGTTTTGGATGCAAATAGTGAGAGTCACTTTTGAGATATATCGCTTTGCGAGGGTGCACACAACAGGAGGAGCTCTCAGATGTGTTCTTCGGGTTGTATGTTTGTGTGCTCTTATGGTGTATCCTCTAACAAGTTCACTGAATATCATTATTATAGCACCAGGATTGTGGCGCAGCTGGCTGAGTGTCATCTGCATTAAGATCACTCTGACCAAAAAGGTCATGAGTTCGAAGCCAGCCTGGGTTGGAGTGGGTTTCCAACCAATTGTGTAGCCTGTTGTTGACCTTTGCAACCCAAAAGACAGTTGCATCTCTCAAGTAGGGAAATAAGGTCCCACCTTAAAGTGTGGGGAGGCTAAATTAACTGATTTATGAGGCCATAAAGAAGACTCCAGCAAAGCATTCCAGCGGGGAAGCATGCGGGGAATGCGGAAGTGCTTCATCAGCGTCGCAGGTGGACGAGGAAAGCGACAGCTCCCAAGTTAAATAGCCTCTGTGTATGTCTGTATATATTTGTATGTCAAAAATTGGCATTGAATGTTTGCCATATATGTGTACACTGTAATCCGCCCTGAGTCCCCTGCGGGGTGAGAAGAAGGGCGGAATAGAAAAGCTGTAAATAAATAAATAATAATAATAATAATAATTATTATTATTATTTTGCTCCTGCAGCTGTTGATCTGCAGTCTGTCTGTTTCACAAGTGACTAAACACGGGGCGCACATACCCAAGGGTAACCCTCTTTTCTTGTTTCCCCCTTGCAGTGGGAACACCCTACTATATGTCCCCCGAAAGAATACATGAAAACGGATATAATTTTAAATCGGATATCTGGTCCTTGGGCTGCTTATTGTACGAGGTAAGTGTCCCTTGCTTTTCTTGATCTCCTAGCTTGGGGACCCGGCGGTGCCCGCGTTGAGGAAGGCATTGTTTGATCTAGATCCAACGTTAGCTGGGTTCCGTGAACTACAACTCCCCTCCTGTTTAAGGAGCTCCACTGGCTGCCGTTCATTTACCGGTCCCAATTCAAGGTGCATGTTCTGACCCACAAAGCCCTAAACGGTTTGGGACCCGCCTTTCTGCGTGACCACATCTCTGTGTACGAACTCACACAATCTCTTCGATCATCTGGGGAGGCCCTACTCACGCTCCCACCTCCTTTGCAGGCGCGATTGGTGGGGACAAGGGACAGGGCCTTCTCGGTGGTGGCCCCCTGACTCTGGAACTATTTATTTATTTAGCAGTTTTGTATACCGGTCTTCTTCTCCCCTCTATCGGGGGACTCGGGCCGGTTTCCAGCAATAAAATCACAAAACAATCATGAAAAACCTCATATAACATATTCAATTAAAACGTTATAACAGCAAAATGCAATCACATAATAACAATGGTCAATCGCCATCGTGAATTCGTTGCCCATCATTCATCGTCATCTATCTGATCACAGAAATATTGATTCACTCGTTGAAAGCCAAACCCCATAGCCAGGTTTTCACCTGTTTTCTGAACGACAGAATGGAGGGGGCAGTTCTGATCTCCAGTGGGAGAGAGTTCCAGAGTCGAGGGGCCGCCACCGAGAAGGTCCTGTTCCTCGTCCCCACCAGACGCGCCTGAGAGGCCGGTGGGACCGAGAGCAGGAACTCACTCCCCAAGGACATTAGGCATGTCCCAACCTTGGGAGTCTTTAGGTGGAGCCTGAAAACGTGGTTGTTTCAGTGTGCCTTCCCAGAATAAGGAAAACTCTCAGGAATATGTCCTTAAACGCACTTTATTAATGATTTAAGATTGTCTGAACATTTCCTCCCTCTCCAAAACTTCTTTCCCAGTTCCATGTCAGCTTCTCATGCCCAACATTATTTTTTTAAAAAATTATTACATTTGCGCTGTGTTATTGTTAATGTTTATTGCTTATTTTTGCTTATGAGTTTATTTATTGTTTTGTATTGTTGTTATTGTTTATTGTTGTATTGTGGGCTCGGCCTCTTGTAAGCTGCACCAAGTCCACATTTGGCCCAGCCATAGGTTTTTAAACGCGTCATGTTATTGTTAATGTTTATTGCTTATGAGTTTATTTATTGTTTTGTATTATTGTTGTTATTGTTTATTGTTGTATTGCGGGCTCGGCCTCATGTAAGTCACACCGAGTCCCTTGGAGAGATGGTAGCGGGGGACAAATAAAGTATTATTATTATTATTATTATTATTATTATTATTATTATTATGTGGAGCCCCCAGTGGCACAGTGGGTACAATCCCTGTGCCGGCAGGACTGAAGACTGACAGGTCGCAGGTTCGAATCCAGGGAGAGGCGGATGAGCTCCCTCTATCAGCTCCAGCTCCTCATGCGGGGACATGAGAGAAGCCTCCCACAAGGATGATAAAAACACCAAATCATCCAGGCGTCCCCTGGGCAACGTCCTTGCAGACAGCCAATTCTCTCACACCAAAAGTGACTTGCAGTTTCTCAAGTCGCTCCTGACACGACTTATTATATGCAAGTCCCATGGTCACACCTAGCACCAGCAGAAAAGAGTTCTTTCTCCCACCCTGGACATCCTTCCACAGATATACAAACCCCATTTCCCTAGTTTGCAACAGACCTTACAACCTCTGAGGATGCCTGCCAAAGGCGTGGGCGAAACGTCAGGAGAGAATGCTTCTGGGACATGGCCAGGCAGCCTGGAAAGCAGACAACAAACCAGTGATTCCGGCCACGAAAGCCTTTGACAATACACGGGGCCTCAAACCCCTTTGTCCAGTGTGCCCCGCGCATGGATGCCTTGCAGGAATGTCTTGCGACTTCCTGCCAGCCTTGGGAGGAGGTCGAAGAGAACACAGTCCGCTCCCTGCTGGGTGTCGCGAAGGGAAATCTCTCCGATGCGCACCAGCGCCTTGTTCCTGCCATTCCTGCGGAGAAGGAAGGAAGGAAGGAAGGACGGAGGGAGGGAGGGAGGGAGGGAGCGCAACCTTCTCGCCAGGTGGAACAGATGCTTGTTTAACAAGGCAGTCGGTGGTTGGGGTGCCAGAGTGTGTGTGTGTGTGTGTGTATGTGTGCTTCGGTCTGAGCCGTCCAGCAGTTCAGTAGGTGCTGATTAATGTGTTGGCGGAAGGCGAGAGCCTGCGCAGGGATACGAGTGCCGGGAAGTCGATGAGCGCAATCAATGAGCTGCGGCTGGAGGGATTAAGTCGCCTTTGGGAGAGCAGCGCAGCGTGACTCTATTCTCTGACTCTATTCTCTGAGGATGCTTGCCATAGATGCAGGCGAAACGTCAGGAGAAATGCCTCTAGAACATGGCCATATAGCCCGAAAAAACCCACAAGAACCGAGTGATTCCAGCCATGAAAGCCTTCGACAATACAGTGACTCTATTCGCCCGCCACTGGTCTTCCGGGGAAGTTGTTGCCAGGGCCTTCCTTTCCAACACACTCCCCTGATCCATGAGCGGCTGACCTGCCCAGGAATGGTGCCTTGGGAACTAGGAATCCCTTCCGAGATGCATGGAAGAAACCCTCGGCGACTGCTCCACATCCATAGAGGAAACCCCAGGGGCCATCCAGTCCAACCCCCTTCTGCCGGGAAGGCAGGGACAATGCAACTGTTGATCCCCTCTCCCTGGTGTTGCTCATTATGGGATGGAAAATACCCATCGCCACCAACAATAATCCTCTTCCTGCCATATGTCAGGTGCAGCTGCGGCTTCCATGGCTGGTAGACGAGAAGCCAGTTCGGGGAAAGGTCATCACAATGCTTTCATGTTGGTGAGAGCATAATGTTTTCATGTTTATTAATTAATTAATGGTACCTAATTTTCCTACTTGACAGATGCAACTGTCTTTCGGGTTGCAAAGGTCGACAACAGGCTACACACAATTGGTTGGAAACCCACTCCAACCCAGGCTGGCTTCGAACTCATGACCTTTTTGGTCAGAGTGATCTTAATGCAGCTGACACTCAGCCAGCTGCGCCACAATCCCGGTGATTAACTGATTTATGAGGCCATAAAGAAGAGTCCAGCCAAAGGCCGCGCTGGGGACCAATGAGCAACTGGGACGGCAAAGGTTGCAGCAAATAACGGCTCCATCTCGAAGTCTGCCTCTGACATCTGGATTAGAGCAATTACTCCGCAGCGCCCAGATCTTCCTTCCAATATATGTGTAGACCCCTCCAGATGTAGGGATTGGGTCCTACTGGCATATATATCTAACGTTGCCAGAGTGTTGTAGGGACCGCTCCCACCTTGCTTTCTCCCTTCCCCAGCTCTGAGAAGGCCTACCTCGTAATGCCTCCATGGCAATGCTCAGGCAATGGTGAGCAGGCTCTCTTTGAAGCTCTTTCTTTCCTTCCTCCATTTCCCTCACTCACCATCTCTCTCCCTTTTCTTTCTTTACTTGCCTTCCTTCTTTTCCCTTCCTTCTTTCCTTCACTTCCCTCATATCTTTTCCCCATCCCTTTCTCTTCTTTCTTTCTTTCCTCCCCTTCTTCTTTTTCCCTCTTTTTTCTTCCCTTCCTTCCTTCCTTCCTTCCTTTCTTGCTTTCCTTCCCTTCTCTCATCTTTCCCATCCCTTTCTCTTCTTTCTTTCCTTCCCTTTTTCTTTTTCCCTCTTTTTTTCTTCCCTTCCTTCTTTCATCCCTTCTTTTTCTTGCCTTCCTTCCCTTCTCTCATCTTTCCCCATCCCTTTCTCTTCTTCCTTCCCTTTTTCTTTCCCCCCTTTTTTTCTTCCCTTCCTTCCTTCATCCCTTCTTTTTCTTGCTTCCCTTCCCTTCTCTCATATTTCCCCTTTCCTTTCTCTTCTTCCTTCCCTTCCCCCCCCCCTCTTTTTTCTTCCCTTCCTTCCTTTCTTCCTTCCTTCTTTCATCCCTTCTTTTTCTTGTTTTCCTTCCCTTCTTTATATCTTTCCCCATCCCTTTCTCTTCTTCTTTCCTTCCTTTCTTTCTCCCCTCTTCCTCTCTTCCCTTCCTTCTTCATCCCTTCTTTTTCCTCTTCCTTTCCCCATCCCTTTCTCTACTTCCTTTTCCTTCTTTCCCTCCTTTTTCTTTCTCCCCTTCTTCCTGTTCCTCTTTTCTCTTCCCTTCCTTCCTTCAGCCCTTCGTCTTGCTTTTCTTCCCTTCTCATATCTTTTCCCCATTCCTTTCTCTTCTTCCTTCCTTTCCTTCCTTCTCTTTTTTCTCCCCTTTTCTCTTTCCTTCTTTTCTCCCGTCATTCTCTTGCTTTCCCTCTTTTGAATTACTAGTTTTTTTCTTTTCTTTATCTTTCTTTCTTTCCTTCCTTCCTTTTTCTTTCACCCTCTCCCTTCCCGTCATACACATGTAACGTAACAGCAGCCAATCCACGGCGCTCCCTTCTTTTCCCCGTGACATCACAGAGGGCCACTTCACCCACCCAGAGTCAATGCTGAGTCAACTCTTGTCTGCTGGAGCTAGGGGTGAATGTCTCAACTGACCACCTTGATTAGCATTTGATGGCCTGGCAGTGCCTGGAGCAATCTTTTGTTGAGAGGTGATTAGATGTCCTTGTTGTAGGCTTTTTCGGGCTATATGGCCATGGTCTAGAGGCATTCTCTCCTGACATTTCGCCTGCATCTCTGGCAGGCATCCTCAGAGGTAGTGAGGTCTGTTGGAACTAGGAAAAGGGGTTTATATATCTGCGGAATGACCAGGGTGGGACAAAGGACTCTTGTCTGCTGGAGCTAGGTGGGAATGTCTCAACTGACCACCTTGATTAGCATTTGATTGCCTGGCAGTGCCTGGAGCAATCTTTTGTTGAGAAATAATTACATTATTATTATTTATTATTATTATTAACTTTATTTGTACCCCGCTAGCATCTCCCGAAAGACTCGATGCAGCTTAGACAGGCC